AATTTATTTTTGGTTTAATAATATAACATTTTATAAATATAATAATTAAGTATTCTGTTAGAACTTAATAGTTATTATAATTATATTTTAGATTTATTATATTTAAAATAAGATGTTTATCCTCTATTGATTATGTTTATCTACAATTAGTTACACGAATTCAAACATGAAGGTTTAATAAGTTGTATTTATGCATAATTTACCTGTAATTTTGAATTTTAAGTAATATGTATCAATAAACAGTACTTCATACATAAAAAATAATTTTTAAGAATTTTTTTTCAAATATTTTATAATATAATATAGATTACCCCATAAAACAAATAGAAATGGTAACTCTTCTCACTAATTGATAAATGTTCACTAAATAAAAAAATATAATTAAAATATTATCTCCATTGTATGCTATATTCATTTTATTAAAACCAACCAAACCCCCCTCACAAATCTGCCATTTTTTATTCGATTTGATTCAAGCAAATGAAGAAATACCGGAAAGCGGAAACACCCACCAGTTGATTTTAAATATCTCACCTGAAAATTTCATTACCATCATGGTCTTGATGCAACCGTTAATGATGATGAAAATAGTAACGGCAAAACGCCACTAGAGTGTAAACTGAACCGTAATCATACGAGGTGGTATTATTTGTCTTCTGTCAAAATTGACAAGAATGGAGGATGATTCAGCAATGCCAAGTACTGGACACCTTGGTGCTATGGGTAGTCGTCTACATCAATCGCATCGTCGTGATAAAGGATGTAGAAGCAGTGATGAGGTACGAGTTGCCCATTTCATATAGTAAATTAAAGAATCAACAATTCGGAAATTAGAATATTGTTCATTAAAGAATCAAGAATTCGGAAAAGTATCCCAGGATTTGAAACCTTGTGAAACCAGATTCATTCACCACCATCTGTTTGATGTAATGCCCACAAGAAATTTTTGATAATTCCGACAAGCATTGCTATACGATCACATAGTATACATATTGCACATACGTCTACCTTGTTGATCTGGATCTTGCTTGTATGTCGTATGGGCATTTGGCCCTTAACTTTGAATACTCTTTATGCTTCTTCTGCTTTCCTATTTTGGTCCTTCAATGGTTGCGGGTCCTTGGGTGCATCCTCTGAGATTCATCTGTCATGTTGTGCTCACTGCTTGACATACTTCCCAACTTGTGTCTTTTAATGTCTCCCTTGTATGAATGTGAATCTTACTATTAAGTTAATTTTCTTCATCTCTTTAAGTCACCGAAGGACACTTTACCTTCTAGTATGCGAACAATCTGTTCCACAACCATATTATAATGAAATCTGCCACTGAAACATATATGAAGTTATAGTTCGATGGGGCAGTCATCATGGAAACAGCCTCTCCACCCCTTGGTTAGAGGCAAATTCTTTGTACATCCTACCCTTAGATGCCGTGGGGGATATACTCGGCTCGTTTGGTTTGGGTTCTAGCAATTTAGAGTTACAACCTTGATTCTCCTCATGTAACTGTTTGATTTTCTTCCTTTCAGAAAATTTGTTTTTTTAGGTGCGTGAATTTATGATGGCATGGATGTTATACCTGGCTCATTTTGGGACGTATCCTTGGAGAATGCCTAATGCAAGCAGCAGCACATGCTACCATGCGAAGCATCTTTTCTCGGTTGTAATTCTCTTTAATACGTGGATCCACCATCTTTTCAAGACTTCCTCCATCTGATGCATGCATCAGTATAGGCCTAGCCTGCTCAGACACAAAAGGAACAAGAACATGTACATATAAGAATCTTTCACTGAAGTACATGTCTGCGTACATGGAAAAAGACCTTCCCACTGAAATACACAATCCTCCTTACAAAAGGATTTTAGTAAACCTTTTCTCATCTAACAGGGAAGAAGAAAAAAGATAGGGGGTCCTTTAGATAAATGACCTTAACATTTCATCCCATTCTTCATTTTTTGTTTGTGGGTCCTATGTTATGACGTGGGAGAGATGAACTTTTACCCAATCAATTAAGCTGCCTTCGTCACTATTTCTGTTTATGGGTCGTCTTCCAGTAATCAGTTCCAAGAGCACAACTCCATAGGAATAGACATCTGACTTCTCTGTAAGTTTACCCATTGATGCATACTCAGGTGCCAAGTACCTATATTTACATACCCATTGTTATAAGTCATATAATTATTATTAAAATACAAATAATATGAATATACAAGTCTAAGAGTATGAAATATATGGAACCCATCAGATTACTCCCCGAAAGAGCCTTTGAGGAGACAAGGGATGCTCTAACATATATTCTGGAGATGGGTACAAATTGTTCCAGAGTATAGGACTCCAACATGCACTCTCCAATGGAGGCTCGATGGGTACAAATTGTTCCAGAGTGGCGAAAGAACGGTTAGATGGGCATAGATTGTCCCTGAGTGACAAGTTCTTAGGGTGGTACACCTTGGCTCTGATGCCATGTGAGAATATGTGGAACCCCATTAGATTATCCTCCAAAAAAGGCCTTGAGGGGAGAAGGGAGGTTCTACATATATTGAGGAGAAATGATCCAACTCTAGCCGATGTGAGACTCAAAGATAGAGAAGATGGAATTTAAGAGTCTGATAGCAGTTTTATTTCTCGACTTAATATTCTTAGTACGCACCCAAATGTTCCCATAACACGTGTTGACACATGAGTGATGATTTCCGATGAAAGCTTCGTCAATCCAAAATCCACCACCTGATTGGTAAAGTATTATTTTAGCAACATTCCTTAGTGTGGATTTTATTATAATATTCTGCCATGCTTGTTCACTTATAGATTGTATGGGGTTATATCAGATCCTTACTGTTTTGACATGGAAATGAAACTATAAAAAATATGGCAATTAATTAGGTAAAATGATGGATACCTTGGCCTCGTAATGCTCGTCAAGCAGTATATTTGCCGCTTTAATGTTTCTGTGGACAATGCGAGGATTACCTGAATATCTTGATGGTTGAATTATTGATATACGTACGTACGCATATATGAAAGCAGGAAGAGAGGGTATACTTACAATCTTCATGAAGGTAAGCAAAACCTTTGGCTGCTCCAAGAGCAAGTTTAAACCTTGTTGAGCAGTCCATAAAAGGGCAGCCTTCCCCTAAAGATTGAATCACCACAACTAGCTAACTAAAGATGTTAACTAGAATCGCTAGGGGGTATACACACACACATGTATAGGGAATGCTCAAATGAGAACCCCATGTATTGTGAGAACTTTTACATTAAGTTATTGTTTCACATGACTTTTTTTCATTTAAGGCTAGGATTTAAGTTATAGATTAACATATATTCGTTTCACAATGTGAAACATGTAAAAAGGTTTCACATTGTGAAACAAATATATGTTCAATACCTTAAATACTAGGCTTAGATGAAAAAATCATGTGAAATAACACATGATGCTTTGGTTGTCACTGTTTGTAACTATTTTGTGGTTCTCACATGATTACCCATATATATATACATATATATATGTATATAAAAGAAAACATAAACTAGGTTTGGTTTCAAGACCTACCATGAAGGTGATATTCAAGGGTTTTATTGGGAATAAATTCATAGACCAACATTCTTTGTTGTCCTGCTATACAATATCCAACAAGAGATACAAGGTGTCGATGATGGATGCGACTAATGGTTTCAACCTCAGTCTGGAATTCATGTTCCCCTTGGCCGCTACCGAGTTTAAGGCTCTTCACAGCTACTTCTTTTCCATTAGGTAACACTCCTTTATGAACATACCCAAATCCACCTTGACCTAAAAGCAGAGAGCTATCGAACTCTTTTGTGGCTGCTACTAGGTCATCATAGGTAAAAACATTCTTCTCATTGCTACCCACCATTCCTAATGGTGGCGGTGGTGGTGCAGCCACCCAACCTTGCTGATCAGAGCTTCTTGGATTGCTATGAGGTTGTGGAGGCATCTTTAGATGAAGATCACCATGTTCATGAAGTTGGTTCCCAGCATGTTGTGTGCTATAATAGCCATTATTTGTATCAACTAGAAAAATTGAATATGATTTCATGGTGAAAATGTAAACCTTATTTGTTAACATTTGAAGAACAGCTTAAATAAGCCCAATAAAACGATTAGTATATGATATGCCAGCATTTGTTGTTCATGTTCTATAAAGTTAGAATATGAACAAAAAGCTAAAACACATTTAACATATATGTCTATAGAGAGACAAACGTAAATTGATAAATACCCTTAATTTCGCTAGGATTGTTGCGATTGTTATCATATCTTTGTCTTTTCTTCTTCCTATGGCAACAACACACCGTGCATGCTATCATGAGTAACAACAATAATACTGCTCCTATAGCTGCTCCTGTTATGATGACATTATTGATATTGTAGCTGCTGCTACCGTATTTTTCACTTGAAGATGAATTGAGTGGAGGGTATAGTGCAAAATGTGAGGATGAGAGCGAACGTGGTAGGGCTGGTGACGAAGATTTATCGTCGTTATGCTTCTTCTTGTTAGATTTGTTCTTGTTCTGTGGCTTCTTGTTATCGTTATTTGATTTGTCAGAAGATGACGATTTATGTTTGTTGGCGGAGGACGATAGTGAGCCATTTTTGTTGTTGTTTTTGTTTGCAGATGAAGAACCAGAATCTTTGAACGATGGCAAAGATTTGGAGGAATCCTGGGAATGGGAGGAGGGCATTTTAAGATGAGAGTTTATAAATCTCGTAGTTGATTTTGGGTCGCTATTCGCTAACCCATGCCGCTCCTCCGAAAATTGACCCTAACATATGTTCAAAGAAAATCAAGAAACATGATAATCAGACACCAACATTCAATCTTCTCCAATAGTATGCAAAAACATGACATAAGTTTCATTAACCTGCTCAAATGTTGATAAGTTTTAGCTGCATGCATGCAATATTTTTGGTTTTGATAAATATTTATTTTTGCAGATGAAAAAGGAAGGGAGAGAGAGAGAAATAAGGGAGAGAGAGAGAGAGAGGGAAGCACCTGCAAAGAGAAGGGCAGGGTGAAATGTGAAAGAAAGTAGGGATGAAGATATAAAAATGCATGGTAATAGTTGAACAAAGAAACGAGTGATCTTCGTATATGCATGCTCCTAGAATCAAGCCTCCTAAAATTATGGTGCTTCTATGATCTCTCTTACTAGATTTTGCAACTGCAGTGCCATCTCCTACCTGTGTTGCTGGTAAAAAAGGTATGTAGCTTCCCCCTATTTCTTAACATGCATATTCTCGCAATAAATATTGTCTAATCGACTCCAAATTGTTGGGCATGTCCGTTGCGGCATGCAATGTGGACATGACCACGGATGTTGGGGATAATTCCATAACACAAGTCCAAAACCAAACTAAACCAAACGAGTCCGGTAATATACCATCCGAAAGTACGCTATTAGGGGGGGTGAGGGTGAGATGTATGTGATAATCAGAATATTCTGTAAATATTACGTTTATGTAAACGTTCCTTTGCTGTGGGTATTTGAAATCTTTGTATAATTAGGTTCCTCGGTGTACTGTGCATATATAGGGTGTTTCAGATGGACTGAAGGCAAGGGAAGATTTTTCCCTAGTACCAGAGCAAAGTCTATCACTTTAAGGCCTTGACGCTTTTGGGTAATCTGTACTTGTTTAGCCTCCTCTCAACGGTCTGGGACAATTGTTCCTGTCTAGCTTCTGTCGGAGGGGGCGTGTTAGAGTCCCACATCGATTAGACTTGAACCATTTATCCTCTATATATGTTGGAACCTCCCTTCTTTCCTCAAGGTAGCGGTTGACATGATTGGACGAGACAAACATGATTGGACTTGATAGAGGGCTGGATTGGACCGGATAAGTTGTATGTTAGATATGATAGGGCTAGACAAGTTGCCCCTAAAAATTGTTTGATGATTTTATTATTTTTGTATATCGTATAATAGTTATAGATTACACAAATCATATAAATATTTAAATAATTTAATTTATTACATTTTTACACAATTTTCATATACATAAAACATTAATATATAGTAGTATAAAATTTGAATGAAGAATTTGATATAATTGATTATGACCAGACGAAGGTGCAGTGAAGGTTGTTACAGCGACTATGATGGTGGGGGTAGAGGTGGCGGTGAATGCGGAGGATGGTGATTGTAGAAGATATGGAGATGATGGATAGTAGTGGTGGTGGTGGTGGTGGTGGTGGTGGCGGTCGCCAGTGGTGGAGGTAGAGGTGGTAGGGTGTGGTAATGGTTGACAACGATGATTGTGGAGGAGATGGTGGACAAGAAGTACGATGGAGGTTGTTGCAGCGACAATGGTGGTGGAGATAAAGGTGGTGGTGGCTGGTGGACAACGGTGACTGAGGAGGATGTAAAGATGGTGGATAAGGTAGTTGCGGCCAACGTGTTAATGGTAGAGGTTGCTGGTGGGTGGTCGTACGAATGGTAATCGTGGTGGCTGATGGTGGTTGTGGATAGAGATGGCCAAGAAGCGGCCTGGATCCGAGAAATCAAGTTTGTAACCGGTCCTAGTCGAAAAACCGAAGCCCGATCAAGCTTTCTAAAATCGATTTTTAAAATGAGTTACCCGATTTGAAGAGGTTTGTTGTTCTCGTGTAGTGTCATAATTTTTTTTATAATATGATCAAATAAATCGCTAAAATTACGATTAAACTTGTGTATCTGTTCTTGTGAAAAATCATCATTACTAGGAGTATATAAACCAAAAGCGAAACATATATCTGAAATTAAAACTTCAACTCCAGTAACATTTAAATAAGGGTTTAACGCCGCGGCCCATGTAAAGATAAAAGATGTCTAGAAAATATTTTAACTATTTTTCTTACATCGTAGTAATCACCGCTTCCTAATCGTAATTATCTTCGTATTGTGTCATTTACTTGTCAAAAAAATATTTGATTTACAAGTAAATAGCGTGTTGGATAATAAACACTGAATAAAAAAGTTGTTCTTTTTAAATCACCCAAAATATCGTATAATCCCTCAAGCACTCCCCCATCTAATACACCAATACTGTTACAAGAATAATAATTACAATAAAATGCAAGCAAATGCCTCTTTGTTTTAACGAATTTTCAATCATAAAATAAGTCGTATTTCATTTAATAGGAATATCAAAGTTCGGTACCAAAGCTTTAAAACCAACATTTTTACATTTTGTGAAAATTCGTTGTGACATTAGCCTAAATTTATCTAGTACACCAATACTATTGCAAGAATTTT